GCCCCCCATCCCCATTTTCCCCCCCCCCCCCCCTTCCCTTCCCAGAGCTAAACTCACACCTCAGGCTTCCCTGCTGCCCGACTGCATTCCTGGTCTTGTACTTGCGTGGCGGCGTGGCTCCCCCCCCCCATTATTTTTGCAGTACCAGTGAATGGAAGTGGTGTGGGGCGCACGCCCTTGGTCTCCCCCCACCCCCACCACAGTAAAAACCGGCCACTGGTTCCGGATCCTTGTGCTTGAAGCTACTTTCCAAATGGTTGTGCAACACACACACACCCGCCCCCATGTTCTTATGTCCATTTAGGCACTTGAGTCAGGTGTCAGCTCAATAAATGGGTTTTTGGTTGATATACCCTTTTTAACAACAGTGCCTCAGCTGTACTCAAAAGAACCAAGATTTTTTTGGGGGGGGGACAACCCTTGGTTCTCAGCAGTGGTTTCCACTCAGATAGGGTCGCTTCGGTATGTGCAGTGTTGTCAGTTTTTCCCAACAGTGCAAAACTAAGAAAACAGCCTTAAACGATGCGCTGGAGAGAATTAGCGGTCCAGTCCCAGAAAGGTGTGTAAAGGGGGGGGGGGAATGAGAGAAGTTTAAAATGTTTGTGAGGATGCGTGAACGGGCGGGGAATAGACCCTGCAGTGTTGGGTGTTCTCTTTTTTCAACTTCAGATGTAGCTGGAAGAAAGAGAGAAACTGAGAGAAATGCAAGCAAGGGTGTGCGTAGGGGTGGGGGAGAGCCTTTTGGCACAGGCCCTTAGCCAAACACACACACACCCCAAAAAATCTGGCTCACCCTGAACTGCATTGAAATTTGAAGCTTGTCTTAACACAGATTAAAAAGTCCTGTGTCTTTTCTTTTTCGTCAAACAAACGGAACCGGTGTAAACTTAAGCCGGGATGGGGGGGGGGGAAACATGGACTCGTTTACCGTTCCTAGCTCCGGAAGCAGAAAGTGCAAATGTTGGCATTGTGAGTCTTAGTTACTGCTTTAAAACAAACACAGGGGGGAAAAGTACACGCAGGTAAACGGCGTATAAAATCTCTCTGAAGCTTCTTGGAAGCCATAGAAGTTAGGGGCTTTTTTTTAAAAAAAAAACAATCAAAAAGGTTGGGAGGAAAAAAAACCCTGGAAAAAACCAAAAATTAAAAAAAAAATTAAAATAATTCTACGCCGATGTTTCTTTGTGCTTGGTGCAATGCAGCAAAGCGTGCTTCGGGAATGGGGTGGGGGTGGGGAAGAGAGGCGGCGTTTAGGAATTGGAACGGCGGAAGAGTCTCTACAAGTATGTTCCGAAATCCTCTAATCCTAAATTTAATAGAGGTACAGCCACCGGGGGGTTGGGGTGACACTTGTTCCAGAGCAACAGCGATCACTGACCAGCTTCTGCAGTGTGTGTGTGTAGGACGGAGACAGCACATAACCCATGTGTCTGAGTAAGTGCGGAATCGGCATACCGGCTCGATCCCAGCCCCCCAAGTTCGGGATTTTGACTGATTCACTATAGGAAAAAGCTCTGGTTTTAGCAGGTGGAGGATCGTGCATAGTTGTCTCTCCCACCCCACCACCAATTTGTTTCCTCCTTTTTTTTTTTAATTGTCTAGAGTGGGATTAAAGGTGTTTTAGTTTTTAATACATTCGGTCTCTGGTGCTTTCAATAAGAGACAGGTTTCGGGCTATACCCTCTTAGTCTTTGTGTACGGGCTTGCCCGACCCCCACGCAAGGAGTAGCGGGAGATTGTGCCCCTCACTTGGGGGGGAGGGAGAGGAGCCCTCCCTGCTACATTTCCAGCAGGTGGGAGAAAAGGCACTCAGTTTTATAGGAAATTCAAATTCTTGGTGTCACTCAGTTTGCAATTCTCCCAAATGTTTCCAACGCCTCCCAATTGCATAACAGCCTCTCAGGGGGGAGGCTGGGCTTGGGGGGACCCCTGGTGCCACCTCCCCCCCCCTACAGCTGCTCAAAAGCCTCCGCCCCGCAGTCTCATCTGGAAGCACACGGAGTCCGTCTCCTCCCCCCAGTGGTGTCCCCTCCGGTCACAAAGGACATTTGCTTAAAGACAACCAAGCTGCCTTTATTGGTTTGCTATGTACAGAGAGTGGCAAAGACCAAATACAGCATCAGGAATACCTTTATTTCGTCTGTTATACAGCACAAGCAGCGTGTACGGCCTTGGCTCTGTCGGGGAACCGTGCGCCATTAGTAGAGGGCCTTTTTTTGTGGTGGTGGTGGGGAGAGAACTGGATTAGCAGGTATGAAGAATGCATCGGTTTGGGGGGGATGTTGTTTTAATAAATAAAAGAGGCTCCCCCCCCCCCAAGGGTAGGATTTCACACCAGGTGGGCCCAGCAGCCCAGCTTGCTGGCCAGGGCTCCAAAGGAAACCCAAAACTGCAGCAGTGAAGATTTCTCCTTGTAGCCAGCACTCTTGCTTGGAGCCCGTCTGTTAACTGGTGCTTATATACAGGGGAAAGGTGCCACGGACACAGCAGAAGGGGGAAGGAACAAAACTGCAGAAGCTGGCGCTGGCCGGCGAGATGGCCTCTTTTCCCAAAGAAGAGCCAGTCGGTATCAGTTGGGGGGGAGTGGGTGGCAAAACTCTGCCCCGCTAAAGAGCTGCCCATTGAGACGGATGGACCCATAACTTATACTGGCCACTATAGAAGCCGCTTCACTCCCCCCACCTGCCCCGCAGTGTTCCAGGCCTGAAGCGGCGACGCGCACGGTGTGGGGCGTTGGCTGAGACGAGTCAATGGGGTAAGTGGCTTGGGGGGGGGGAGAAGAGAGAGACTTTCTAGGTGGAAAGCCATTCACGCCAGGGGTCGTGTTCATTACCAGAGCGGCAGGAGCTTTTCGCTTTGCGAAAGACGGGGATTTGTGGTGGCAGAATATTTTCACGCAAAGCCTGGAAGCGAAGGGTATTGAAGGCTGAAGGGCGGGACCTGGCCTTAGAATACCGGGTGGGAGACTAGTTCTGGCGGGCCGAGTCTGTCCTTAGTTGGTGGTGCCAGGTCCCAGCCAACTTACAGCCGCTCTGGCGAAGTCTTCAAGGCAAGAGACGTTCAGAGATGGTTGGCATTACCTGCCTCCAGGTTTAACACACTCTAGTCCTCGTCAAAGCCTAGATTTTGCTTCGCTTCTGAGATCTGACAAGCCTGGCCTACCCACGTCGGGGCAAGTGCTTGTTATCTGGAGAGAGACGCAGCGCCCGGGACCGTACCTTGCCTGCACCCACCACCCTGCCCTTGCAGAGAGTCATCGTTCTACACCAGTCTGGGGAAGT